AAGAATAAAAACATGCCATAAACATAAACTTGGCGCTCCGCGCGGATTTCTTGGATCTGCGCTGGACCCCCTTCCCTGGCTCGCGGAGCGGGCCAGGCGCAACGCCAGATGCGCCGCCGACCCTTCTCCGCGAAGGGATCGGTTCGGGTCGGTTCGGTCCGGTTCTGCAGCTGGTTCGGTTCTGCTTGGCCGGTTCGGTTTGACACCGGTTTGGCTTCGGTCGGTTCGGTTTGGGTATGGCTGCGGTTCGGTTCGGTTCGATCCCACCCTCGCTTCGGTCCACCCAGTTCGGTTCGGTCCCACCCTCGGTTCGGTCCCACCAGTCAGGTTCGGTTCGATTGACGGTCTGGTTCGATTCGGTCCGACCAGTCCAGTTCGGTGCGATTAGCGACGTTGGGCGCCCCGTTTGCGTAAGCGACGGCCCAGTTTGAACAGAAAGGAGGAGGAGGAGGAGGAGAAAAAGAAGAAGAGAAAGAAGAGGAGGAGGGCGGAGAAGCAATGAGGAAGGAACGAGGAGCATGGCCGCGGCCCCGCGAGGTTCGGCCCCCGGGGGTTCGGGGGCCTTTTGTTGACGCTTTGGGCTCTCGATCCGCCTCTAAATTGTTGCCCCCGCCTCCCTCTCATGAAAGGGCCGCCGCCGCCGCAGACGACGACGACGGGTGGGGTCCCCAAAGTGGCCCTTCGGGCGCCCCGATCAGCCCGTTGGAGGGGTCGCGACGGGAGGGGTCGCGACGGGGGGGGGGAGTGGACTACTGGTGGCGTGGTTCCCGCGAGAACCCCGCCACCCCGGCGGCGGCCCCCTGCCCTCGCGCGGGGTGGACGCCAAAGGGGCCCGCCCTCCCGCTGTCCGCCGCGGACCCCCCATCCCCCTCCTTCCGCCGCCGAAGGGAGGTCGCGACGGGGCCGGTCGCGACGTGGCTGGTCGCGACGGGGCCGGTCGCGACTGGGAGGGTCGCGACGGGGGGGTGTCTCGGCGGGGGGGCTGCGACGGGGGGGGTCGCAACGGGGGGGGTCGCGACGGGGGGGGGTCGCGACGGGGGGGGTCGCGACAGGGGGGGTCGCGACGGGGCCAGTCGCGACGGGGGAGGTCGCGACGGGGCCGGTCGCGACGGGGCCAGTCGCGACGGGGGGGGTCGCGACGGGGGGGTGGCCAATGAACTGCTGGTGGGGTAGTTCCCGCGGGAACCAGGGTACCTCGGCGGCGGCCCTCTACCCTCGCGCGGGGGGGCCGCCAAAGGGGCCCGCCCTGACGCGGTCCGCCGCGGACGACCCTTCCCGACCTGCACCGACACGCCACGATTCGCCCCGACCCGCCCCGACCCGCCCCGACCTGCCCCGACATTCTCATATTCGTCATGGTCATCCTCGTCACGGCTTGCACACATTGGCTCAATTTTTGGCACTGGCTGCCTCAAGCCTCGTCGTCTTCCAGGGTGGTTGGGTACGGGGGGTCGTCGGCCTGCGGTCCTGTGTGAGCTGGGTTGGGACGTCCGGTTCGGTTCACGTCGACTCGGTTCGGAGGGCCACCCGTTTCGGGTTCGGTTCCAGTTCTGGTTCGGTTCGGTTCCCCCCGTTTCGTTTCTGAACGAATTCGATTCGGTCCGGTTCGTTTTTTTCCCAAACATCTTGTGCTCTTGGGTCTTCGTTTTGAAGAGACGGTCCCCGCGTTCCTCCTCTCCTCCTCCTCTTCCTTCCTCCTCATCCTCGTTCTCCTCCTCCTCCTCCATTTCTTCCTCCTCCTCCTCCTCCTCCATTTCTTCCTCCTCCATTTCCTCCTCCTCCTCCTCCATTTCCTCCTCCTCCTCCTCCTCCTCCTCCCTCCTCCTCCTCCTCCTCCTCCTCCTCCTCCTGGTTTCTCCTCCTCCTCCTCATCCTCCTCCCCCCCTCCTCCCTCATCCCGTCACCCCCCTCACTTTGGCACGCCTCTCACACGTTTCGTGGCCCCATAGGGAGCCCCATCGAAGGCCCCAGTGGCTGCGCTCGCATGACGCCACCGCACCCATTTGGGCACACCCCTCACACGCTTTGTGACCCCAAAGGGAAATCCACCGAAGGCCCCAGTGGCTGCGCTCGCAGGACACCACCGCACCCATGTCGGCACACCCCTCACACGCTTCGTGGCCCCATAGGGAGCTCCACAGAAGGTCCCATTAGCTACGCTCGCATGACACCACCACACCAATTTCGGCCCACCCCTCACACTCTTCGTGGCCCCATTGGGGACTCCACCGAAGGCCCCAGTGGCTGCGCTCGCATGACACCACCTCACTAATATTGGCACACCCATCGCATGCTTCGTGGCCCCAAGGCCCCAGTAGCTACCGCATTCATGTCGGCACACCCCTCATACGCTTCGTGGCCCAATAAGGGAACTCCACCGAAGGCCCCAGTGGCTGCGCTCGCATGACACCACCGCACCCATTTCGGCACACCCCTCACACGCTTCGTGGCCCCATTGGGAACTCCACCGAAGGCCCCAGTGGCTGCGCTCGCATGACACCACCGCATCCATGTCGGCACGCCCCTCATAATTACGTCTTGTGGATCCACAAGGAGATCCACCGAAGGCCCCAGTGGCTGCGCTCGCATGGCACCACCGCGCCCATGTCGGCACACCCCTCACGTTTCGTTGCCCCATGGTGAGCTCCAGAGCTCCACCGAAGGCCCCAGTGGCTGCGCTCGCAGGACACCACCGCGCTCATGTCGGCACACCCCTCACACGTTTCGTGCCCCATAAGGAGCTTCACCGAACACGAAACCAACAATTTCGTTACTTACAACTGCATGTGGTTCCGTTCCTTCACCAGGATAGTTTGTGTTTTCTATGTTTGTCTGGTTCGGTTCGGTCACGGTAGTCGATTATCGGTTGTCGGTTCGGCTTGGTCTTTTAATGTTTCTCAGCTTCTTCTCGGGCAGCGGCCGCGGGGAAGAGCGACCATCATTTGCCTGATCAAGTTGCTCACGCATCTTCTGCATCTCTTTGCCCTTTTCTGCACCACCTCTTGCAAACAGTCGAACTCTGCGAGAACAATCTTGCACTTGCTTGGCCAGCTTGGTCTTCTCCGTGTTGGCGGCTGTGTCCCATTGAGTATCAGACAGACTCGCCAAGGTTAACTGACATCTCGGGCCGATCTGCCAGCAATCTGGCAGCTGTTACACGAAGTTCACGAACCTGTGCTGAAGCAGCTTTCTGTTTCCAGGCCTTGGATTCGCCAGACCTGGTGTCGGACTTGTAGGCCCCGCCTCACGTGGAGCACATCTGGTGGCTCCTGCTCTTGAACTCCCAGTGCAAGTATGACGAGCAGTCACCTTGAGGGGGGAACCTCTTCTTCCAGTTCTGTGCACGTCGAGGCCCGTCAGCGTCAGAAGGTTGGAAGATTCATGTGCCAGCCTCGCCCCGTCGGGAGCCTTGGGCCCACCTGTTGCCGTGATCGCTCCACCAAGGAGGAGAACGAGCAGCACCATCACAAGCGGGCGCCATGGAGCACTGGGAGACACGTGGCAGCAGGAGCTGGAAGTGCCTCAGTTTTTGCACCACCGCGTACACAGTCAACCCGCATATATAGTAAGAACGGGCAACCATCCCAAGGGTACCCTCGCATCCTGCCATCCTTGCGACTTTCGCTGGCCAACCTCGTTCAAAAACGATAACATGGGCCTCGAAGGCCCTTGCATCCTTACCGCGCATACTTATGATACTGGTTGTCTGTATGCTTGGGAGGCGAGGAGACCCTGTTCCGACAGGAGCTCACCGAGCACTTGGGTATGGCCGCGGTTCGGCGCTATCCGTGCTCTGCCGCAAGGGCCACCCTGAGCCAAAGCGGCTACCAACAGGAGGGGCGGACAAAGGAGACGGAGGATGATGAGGAGGTGGAGGAGGAGGGGGAGGAGGAGGTGGAGGAGGATGGGGTGGAGGAGGAGGAGGAGGAGGAGGAGAGGAGGAGGAACAGGAACAGGAGAAGGAGGAGGAGCTTGGGTCTGGCCGCGGATCGGCGGTATCCGTGCTCTGCCACGGGTAGCGGCCCTCTTGAGTCAACGCGGCCACCCACAGGAGAGCAGGCGCACAGGCGGGGGGCGAGGCGCTGGAGGCGGCGCCTCGCTATAGTGGGGCCGGCCCGCCCGCGCGCAGGCCTGGCGCCGCCGCAGCCATGCCCGCCGCCGTGGAGCTCGCCAAGAAGGCGCCCGCCGGCCCGGTGGTAGGAGGCCACATGCGAACCCCACCCCACCACCCCACGATTTCTGGCCTCCTAGGGGGAGCGCGGCGGGCCGCGGCTGGAGACCGTTTTTTCATTCCCCAGGCGATAGTGGGCGATAGCGGCCGCTGTTCGAAACATCAAGACGTTTCCGTGCTCACTCGAGACTGTTTTTTGTCATTCTTCAGCGAGAACTGAGGAGACGAAGGACGGTACAGCATGAACTGTCTTTTACCGCCAGTTGCGCCCGCCCCATGCAGGGCGATTGGCGAGTTGATGCCCCGACGTGCCACCGTGGGGGTACACATTTATTCCAGCCGCTCTGGGTCAGGCGTCCCCGACGGCGGAACAGTTTGTTTTGCACCGTACCCCTAAATATCCGGCGACCCCGGGAAGGGGGGAGGAGGGGTGCAGTCATGTCACGATTCGCGCCAGCCCCGTCTGGGAGTGCTCAGGAATGGCTCATTCCCACACGGCGCCAGCGCGAATCGTGACCTGACCAGGGGGGGGGAAGCGGGGTGTGCCGAGCCGGTCAGGGGCGTAATCGCGAATATTACAAAAACGAGGTCTTCGCCTTGGAGCAAACCCAGACGCGCTCGCGTCGTAAAAGAATCAGGACAGATGCTGTTGGCCGGTTTCGGCTTACGGGGGCCCTCGCCGGGCTTGGGAACCGTCAAGGAATGACCCTCGATGAAAGGCTGGGCCCGGGGAGTGGGCTGGGACTCTTGGGGGTTCCGTTGAACAAAGCAGGACATCGCATGTCTGGCGTCGGGTCTTGAGAAAAGCGGTTCCTGATTTTTTGTCGCCATGATCGGACTCGCGGGGCTCTCCACGGGTCCTAGGACATTCAAACAACTGCTCAGGACGAGCTGGTCCGTAGCCACTTTGGCTCAAGCCGCTGGTGTCACTACGGCCCGCGCGATCACGCGCAGAAGCCTCCTGCCCAGCTCGATCGGTTCCCGACCGCTCCAGAGGGCCATGGCGCTGCCCATGAAGACCGCGATGAAGACTGGCATGAAGGCCGCGATGAAGACCAGCATGAAGGCCGCGATGAAGAAGAAGAAGAGCATGAGCACTATCGCCAAGGGCGTGCAGGCCAAGAGCCAAGTGTTGAAGGGTGCGAAGGTGAAGACTTCGGGGGGCCTTACGAAGGATAGTCTCATGAAGAACAAGCGCGGCAAGGTCGTGTCGAAGAAGAAGCACGCGGCTGGCAAGAAACTTTTCGCTGCGGTGAAGAAATGGGGCGAGTGCGTCGCCAAGGCGAGGGCTGCACTCGGCCTGAAGGGCTTCGTGGCCATCAACGGCAAGAAGCCGGAGGGAAAGGCGCTTTATGCCAAGGCCAAGGCCTTGTATGCCCAGGCGTAGTGAGGGAGTTCGAGGTCACCCGCTACAGGTTCCGGGTAGGATGCGTGGTCGTTCACGGTCCTGCGTTCACGAGCCTATGCGTGTTTTTACGTCAAACGTCTGTACATTACTTGCGGACCACCTCGCGCAACTGTGAATCTCCGAAGGTGGGGCAGGCGCCTTCGCAGAGCTCGTGACGGCAGGGTGCCGCTGTGATCTTCCTTGAAAAACAAAAAATAGCTCAGGATGAGCTGGTTTCCAAGGGGCCCGGTTCCCAGGCCCGTTCCCCTCAGGACCCAGTTCTTTTTTACCAGTTTTGGGCGATCCTTGCGCCTCAGGACTTCGGGGCTCTGGGCCGCCCAGGTGGGGTCGGAGCAGATGGCGTCGGGGGGTCACGCCGCATCGCCGACGCCTCGGTGAGACCCAGTGACTCGGCGGCACGAAGCCGGATGTTCTCCATCCCGACGTCGCACGTGCATCTGCGTCCTCCCAGGTGCATCCTGAAGTCCGCCACAAACATCGGCACGAACGAAATGGATGAATTTGTGCGATGCCCAGCAGCAGTTCCTTTTCATTTCGAACAGGACTCGCTGTCCACGCCGCCGCGGAATCATTTGTTATTGGGCATCGTAACCATTTTTTCCGTTCCCAATTCGGGCGTCCAAAAAGCAACACGTATTTTGACGTTTTCCGGTGGATTGTTTTTGAGTCTCATGGGGAGGATGGCGGTGTATAAATCACCACTCAGAGCCAGCGACCCTCCCTTGAAAGGCCCATGGATATTTTGTCGGCGGGTGTTTGTGCATCTGTTACCGAGCCTTACGAAGGTCGGCACGAACTGAGGGTTCTCTGGCTGTCCCGCGGCGTTGGGTTCGCAGGCCTCTCGCGGCGGCCTCACGACTGCTCCCCCTGTGCAGCGGATGCGCCCCGCCCAGTGCTTGACCGCTTGTTGGGCCCGACTCGCGCAGAGCCCCCAAAAAGTGCATCGGTCCAAAAGAGGACTTCGCTCGGCGACCAGCTTGGGTCTCCATATTCCGAGGGCCCAGGGAGGATGGCCCGCCCCCGCCCCCCAGGCTCCCTTCCCGCCTTGCACTTCCCCCCTCCTCCTCCCGCTGCGCCTTCGCAATCTGGGGATCCAAGCGGGCGCTCCAGAAGCACATGAGCGACGCAGAACAACGGGATCGATTGTGCCGATATTGGCGCGTAAGCTGCCCGCGTAAGGTCGCGCGCAAGCGCCCTCTTCTCCACGCAGTGTGCCGCGCTGGCGGCCCGCGCAAGCCACCGATCGCATAAGGTCGCTATGCCATTTTGCGTAAGACCCGTTTCCGATCGTCGCTCACATGTTTTTGGCGATTGGTTTGGATCCCATTATTCCAAAAGCCATGTCTGTTCAGCCTTTGTGCTGGTCTTCATGCAGCTGCAGAGTCATGGGGAATTTGCTCGCAGTCTCTGTTTCACGTTTCGCAGCCAATTTGGGGGGGCGTTCGAGAAAAGTCTTGTTCAACCAGTGCGGAGGCGCCCCACCCGCCCCTGAGTGCCCAGCCCCCTCCCCCTCCCAGCCCCGTTGGGCCTGCGGAGGGCTCCGGCTTCCTCCCATCCGTCTTTGGGCTTGCAACGTGCTAGGATCCGATTGGGCGCTCCGCACAAGCGAGCCTTTGCTCAGCGACCAGGTTGGATCCAAATGCTCCGGGGCCTGCGGAGGCCTGGGACCCAAAAAGGCGCCCCGAACATTTCTCAGCCTGGGTCCCAATAGTCCGAGGGCCCAGACAAGAAGGGCCTCCAGCTCCCCATTCGGGCCACTGGGCCTGCGCCCCCCCCCCGACGCCGACGCCGACGCCGACGCCGCCGCCGCCGCTGCCGCCGCCGCCGCCGCCGCTGCCGCTGCCACCGCCGCCGTCGACGACGACGACGACGAGGACGACGACGACGACGACGACGACGACGAGGACGACGACGACGACGACGACGACGACGACGACGACGACGACGACGACGTGGGTGTTGGTCTCCGACGGCATGTGGCGGCCCGCTTGGTTGCCAATTCAGTACTAGCTCTTCCTTCCCACGATTGGTGCCCCCCCCCCGCCCCCGCTCCCCAGACTCCCCTGGCGGCGCAGGCTCCCCCGAAGGAGGGGGTGGTTCGAGGGGGGTGGCGAAAGTTTGGATCCCTCGCTTGCTCTTGTGGGGATAGCGAGTATTGGGATCAACAAAACGGGCGGCCACATGGAGCGCCTGGGGGGGGGGAGTCTCTGAAGCCTCCTGCTGGGGCCCCATGAGTGCTTCGTGGGAGCTGCTTGGCGCGTCTCAGCGTTGGGCCACGTTGGCGGCCTCGCTGGCCGGTTGGGCCGCGTGTCTAGCCTCGGAGAGCGCTAGGGTGGCGTCGGGCCGCCCGGGAGCCTAGGGAGGCGAGGGGCATGCGACAGGGTGCCAGGAGATGCGTGGCGGCTTCAGTAAGCCAGCCAAAACCATTTGGTATTCTACACACGCTTCTGCGTGCCAGGTGGCACAGTGGCACATTCAAAGGGCATCGTGCGCCATTCGTAGGAATAGTTCTGGCAGATCTGAACACGGATGTGTGCGGTGCAGGGTGCCATATTCTCCCCACAGAGTATTATTCCATCAAGGGCTTTCAAAACGAGTGTGCGCGATTCGAAGGCAAGATGAACGCTTAGCTAGCCGCCTGTGTTCCATTCGTGCAACTGGCTTGTGGTTTGGGAAGACGTATGTGCGTATATGCGCAGCGCTGGCCCTCTAACCATGAAACTGCTGGAACGTTCAAGCACCATGAAGTTGATTTGAAGATGTGAAGTGAGGACAGTTCGGGCTACGTGGCGGGCCCGCGCTATCAACACGTCTGCTGGTGCGACGAGAAAGGCACTCCGAAGGAAAGGGAGTGAGAAGGAGGAGGAGGAGGAGGAGGAGGAGAATTGAGGAAGAGGCGGAGGAGTGAGGAGGACAGAAGAGCAGTCAGATGAGAAGTAGCAGCAGCAGCATAAGCAGCAGGAGCACGACCAAAAGCAACTGTGCCCACATGCCCTCTTGCAGACCACCGCCTGCTGCGCCCCCCCCCCCACCTGCCTCCTTCCCTCCTCTGCGGCCATCCGCCTTCCTCCCGGCAGGGTCGGATGCGGGAAATCGATCTTCGAGGACCCTTGCGGGCGGTGGACGTTGATATGTTTGAGCCTCCTAGGTCCAACATGCCGATTCGTTTCGGCCGGCTCCGGGGCCTGGCGAGAGCCCCAGAGACCGAAACATGTACAATATTTCAGCTGTGCTGTTGTATTACGACGAGGGCATATCTGGGCCAAGGTATGCTGACAATATCAAAGCCATTGCAGCTGAAGTCGAAATCTAAGTTTTGTTCAATCAAAGCACTGGCTCACCCCTCTCCAGAGAGTGCTGGTTTTGCGCCAAGCTGCTGCAGTGGCGAACGGATCCATGACACATGCAAGGGAAGCGGCCAGACAGACCAGGGGGGCATGAGAGAGATATCAAACATTCTACGCCCTGCGTGGTGTCAACAATCCTCCGTTTCTCGCCCGCCTCTCACAGGGGCCAAGGATCGCGGGCAACGATAGAGGATAGTTCTAGGGGGATGCATCGACCTCGAATGGATGATACATCGACGATGCATCGACGATGCATCGACGTTGCATCGTTGATATCAGGGCGATGTGCCGACTATGTGTACAGGACCCAAGGGGCGGTCTGCATCGATGGTGTATCGGCGATGCATGGGCAAACATGGGCAATGTATCGGCCACTCGAGGTCGATGCATCCTCCCTAAGCCTACCCCCCCTACGTGCCGCGTTGACGCGACGGCGACCCCGCCGCGGGCGTTCAAGGTTGAACGCCGCCAGTGGCCCAGAATCGGGCATTATGGAACAATCTGGCGATCGAGATGCCGCCGATCGTTCAAGGTTGAACGATGAGCGCAGAGATCAACGCTGACGACATCGCGACGCGAACCTGCCATTTCGCTGCTCCTCCAAGGATGGGGGCCGACCCTGCCAGGTGTTGCGGGGGGGGGGGGGGGACTGCCTGCTGGGGCGCCCGCCCAGCTGCGGAGCCGTGCCCGCGCCCAGGGCTTTCTTCGCGCGGGGGCTTGCACGCCTCCATGGCCGGGCCTGCGCTTTTCAGGGAGGATCGTGGATTGAGGGGCAGGGGGAGGAGGACCAGAGCAAACCCAAGACTCTCTAGCGATGTTGCAATGAATCCTCCTTCGAGCTCTCTTTGCATAGGCCCCAGAAGGGTTCGTCTCCACTCAGGGAAGTGCCCTGTTGGGAGACAGCCGTTTGAAAAATCGAGCCGTGCCATGGCACCATGCTTGAGCCTTTAACACCACGACTCTACCTTACTGTTGCGTCTTGAGGAGGGGGAGGATATGCAGGTGGAGGTGGAGGACAATGACGTGACGTAGTCAGGACGCAGCAACCATAGAACTGACTGTCCGCGCAGCGCAAAAACGACAATGACGAGGCGGGACAACAAGAGAAGATACGGAAAACGAGCAGGAGGGTGTGGGCGGCGCTGCGCTGGGTCGGCCGGGTCGGCCGGCCGCTCCATCGGTGCATTGGCAGGAGGCCGCAGCGATGTGCGTTGCGCTGCTTGACAGCGCCGGATGCTTGGCTCAGGCCGACTTTGGGCGTCAGGTAGAGGGGGTCGATCAATGGGCGGGCAGCGAGGGCTGCAGACAAGGGGCCCTGTAGGACCCCTCAAGGAGCCCTTTAGGGCCCACAAGGGAGCCTTGAGGGCCCGAGAGGAGTTCCTTTCTTCCCCCAATCATCGCCCCCCTCAAAGCGACACCCAAAGACTGCGCCCTAGTTAATCGCAGTTTGCTCGAAAGGCTTACGCCATCCCGCGGGCCCCCAGAGGAGGGATGCAGTCCACGGCTGAGGCCTCTTGGGGCCTCTCGGGAACCCTCTGGGGACCTCCTTTGGGCCTCTTGGGGGCCTCTTCGGGCCTCTTGGGAGTTTCGTGGGCGCCTGCGCCAGATGCTTGGCTCGGGCCGACTGCGCCC